ACACCGTGATTAGTCCAGATCTAGACAGCAAAAGTAACGCTGGCTTAAGCTTAACTGAAGGGTCCATCTTGTGAAAAGTTAGGCCTGCACCCAAGACAGCCAGGTCTGAAAGTCTTTCACTTCTCCTACTTCACTGAAAGGCTGGCCCACCTTGGTTGAATGTCAGCGTATACCGTAACCGGATAGGTTCCTGGGACATAAGAGATATGTTAATTAGCGAGGAGTACCCAAGGCCAACCCAGAGTTAAAGGTTTCAGCCACCCAGGAGTCACCAAAACAGGAGATAATGTATTCATTCAAGTCAGTGAGGACTTCAAACAACTGTAAGACGTGGACCACACCCTGGCCTAGCCCTCTTAGGGATTAACTCACAAGACCAGGCACATAATCCTGGGAGCCCTCTACACTTCTGCAGTCCTGAGATGGGCTGCGCAATTCAGAGACCAGTTAAGGAAGACAGGCCTCACCCTTTCAACGGACTCTATGGGATTAGGGAAAGTTCATGCATCCCTCCCTTGATTCCCAGCTATGACAATCCATCACAGATCTTTCATAACCCCAAAGGAAATAGACTCTAGCAAGGGATATTCCACACAGCCCCATCCAGCCAAACCAGCGACTATACAGCAAGGCCTCAATGTGGCTCTCTCACCCACAAAGTTACCTCCCTATAGTTTAGGGTCCCCATTTCCCTACTACCAAAGATAACCAGAACATACTTTATGTGGATTGTCAAGCAGCAGCATCTGAGATATCACAGCTGGAGGCATCAAAGGACTGAATGCAGGAAGCTTGTGAGCTGGAGCCGGCTGTCAGCTTCACTCTCATTGACTATTGGGGAAAAAACCCAACAGGTAACTCATTCTAACAAACTACATGTTCCATGAGGGAGATCAGATGAACGGGAACTTGATCTCCACACCACCCCCCAAAAATAAATGGCGTTCTCAGGAGGCATAATATCCCAAGGCACTCATGGAAGCCCAAGCAACAGCTCCCACTAATTGACAAAGGATCCAAAAGGTCTTTCCTTCCACATACAGAATATATCTGAAGTTGTGTGGTCAACCACTGGCATCTAAGAGGCAGCATAAACAGCCAGGGCACATGTTGGCTCAAATTCTAACTCTACTTCTTTTTTTTTTTTTTTAGAGAGTCTCGCTTGTTGTCCAGGCTAGAATGAGTGCTGTGGCGTCAGCCTAGCTCACAGCAACCTCAAACTCCTGGGCTCAAGCGATCCTACTGCCTCAGCCTCCCGAGTAGCCTGAGACTACAGGCATGCGCCACCGCCGGCTAATTTTCTATATATATCAGTTGCCAATTAATTTCTTTCTATTTTTAGTAGAGACAGGGTCTCGCTCTTGCTCAGGCTGGTTTGAACTCCTGACCTTGAGCAATCTGCCCACCACAGCCTCCTAGAGTGCTAGGATTACAGGCGTGAGCCACCGCACCCCGCCCTAACTCTACTTCTTAATAGCTATGTAACCTTGGGCAAAATACATAACTTCTGAACCTAGGGTTGATAAATAATAAAAATTTGTAAAATGGCTGTTAATCAGTGGGGCATTACTTCCCTTGGAAAGGGGTAAATATATCATCCCAAATTGTCCAGGTACTTTACATCCCTGAACACACATTGGTCTAAGGTATGAAAGTAATATTAGCAAGGCCCAATCATGGTCCTTTCTTGAGTAAAAATGCATGCCTCATGTCAGGTGAGTTTTTTCTGAGATAAAAAAAGTTAAGAACCATGCAACCCTGGAGTTGCTGGAAGCCATGTTCCTGCTTTGTGGAGAGACTATCAGAGAACAGTTCCAAAGAGAAAAGCAAAGTCAAGAGATGAAAAGAGACATATGGGGGGAGGGGGGGAATGGGCATTTATTGAAACCTTAATATCTGTACCCCCGTAATATGCCGAAAAAAAAAAAAAGAGACATATGATTAAGGAATCATTTAAGAACCTGGATCTGCTCATATCCAAAGTCAGATATTCAGGAATGCCCAGTGTGGTAAGCCACTTTATCTTCAACTAGCTTGAATGAAGATTCTCCCCTTACACCTAACAGATGATGTACCAGCCAAAGGACCCAGTGCTTCAAAACGACAGCCAATACTGAAAAGTTCAAGGAGCCACCAGCAGATAACTCACCTTTGGCACAGCCACTTGAAACATGATGTCCAGACAGGCTGGGTGGCAGTGCTCATCATGGTCAAGAGTAAACCTGCACCTCGGGGTGGCAGGGCCCCAGTCTGGGAGAAGTGTGAGCAGAATTCTGAATCCATTGCGGTCATACACGATCAGAGGTGGCAGGCTGCCTGGGAGAGAGGCCCAACCAGAAGGGTCAGCACCTGCATAAACTGCCCCAACAGCCAGTCTGGAGAGGTTGCACGTTTTCACCAAATGCTGCTGCTCTTCCATTCAGAACATCCCATAGACGTAACCCTTTCGCACTACCACAATCCAAGTCCTCGTTACTCTAGCTGGACTCCTGTGACCCTCCAGACTGACTCTCCCACTATCCAAACATCCTAGCACATTACCAGTTTTAAAGAATATTTATTTTGAGGAGATTAAGTATGAGTAACATCATGATGAATACTCTAGAAAATACAGAATTATAGAGAATGAATATAAAATCACCTAATTCTACCCAGAAATAAACATTGCTAACACTGGAATTATTTCCTTCTGGTCTTTTTCGTATGATAACACACCCAACATGCACCTTTATGTTAATATTTAATTGTACAAACTGTAAAGATATCGGATCTCCTCTAATATGTTTTAGAAAACCCTAACTCTACTTCTTAATAGCTATGTAACCTTGGGCAAAATACATAACTTCTGAACCTAGGGTTGATAAATAATAAAAATTTGTAAAATGGCTGTTAATCAGTGGGGCATTACTTCCCTTGGAAAGGGGTAAATATATCATCCCAAATTGTCCAGGTACTTTACATCCCTGAACACACATTGGTCTAAGGTATGAAAGTAATATTAGCAAGGCCAATCATGGTCCTTTCTTGAGTAATTAATATGCATGCCTCATGTCAGGTGAGTTTATTTCTGAGATAAAAAGGGTTAAGAACCATGCAACCCTGGAGTTGCTGGGAGCCATGTTCCTGCTTTGTGGAGAGACTATCAGAGAACAGTTCCAAAGAGAAAAGCAAAGTCAAGAGATGAAAAGAGACATATGGGGGGAGGGGGGGAAATGGGCATTTATTGAAACCTTAATATCTGTACCCCCGTAATATGCCGGAAAAAAAAAAAAAAAGAGACATATGATTAAGGAATCATTTAAGAACCTGGATCTGCTCATATCCAAAGTCAGATATTCAGGAATGCCCAGTGTGGTAAGCCACTTTATCTTCAACTAGCTTGAATGAAGATTCTTCCCCTTACACCTAACAGATGATGTACCAGCAAAGGACCCAGTGCTTCAAAACGACAGCCAATACTGAAAAGTTCAAAGGAGCCAGCCAGCAGATAACTCACCTTTGGCACAGCCACTTGAAACATGATGTCCCAGACAGGCTGGGTGGCAGTGCTCATCATGGTCAAGAGTAATACCTGCACCTCGGGGTGGCCAGGGGCCCCAGTCTGGGAGAAGTGGAGCAGAATTCTGAATCCATTGCGGTCATACACGATCAGAGGTGGCAGGCTGCCTGGGAGAGAGAGGCCCCAACCAGAAGGGTCAGCACCTGCTATAAACTGCCCCAACAGCCAGTCTGGAGAGGTGTGCACGTTTTCACCAAATGCTGCTGCTCTTCCATTCAGAACATCCCATAGACGTAACCCTTTCGCACTACCACAATCCAAGTCCTCGTTACTCTAGCTGGACTCCTGTGACCCTCCAGACTGACCTCTCCCCACTATCCAAACATCCTAAGCACATTACCAGTTTTAAAGAATATTTATTTTGAGGGAGATTTAAGTATGAGTAACATCATGCATGAATACTCTAGAAAATACAGAATTATAGAGAATGAAATATAAAAATCACCTAATTCTACCCAGAAATAAACATTGCTAACACTGGAATTATTTCCTTCTGGTCTTTTTCGTATGATAACACACCCAACATGCACCTTTATGTTAATATTTAATTGTACAAAACTGTAAAGATATTGGATCTCCTCTAATACGTTTAATAAAATTCCAATGGAAATCCTAAAGAGATTGTTTTAATTTAGATAAAAAGTGATTCTAATGTTAATTTGAAGGAAAAAAAATATGAGACACCAAAAAACAAAAGAGGAGCAGGACATCTGCATTAGCAAAAATACTCAGATAAAATTGCAACTCAAGTAAAGTGGTATAAAAACAGAACGTAGAACAGACTCAAATATGAGACTGTAACATGATAATGCATATTTCAAAATCAGTGGCTGATTCAATGAATGGCACTCAGATCCCTGGCTAACCATCTGAAAAAAAATTTTAATGATGACCCTTATCTCATGCCAAGGATCAATTATAAAAATTTACATTATAGGCCAGGTGCAGTGGCTCATGTCTATAATCCCAGTACTCTGGGAAGCCAAGGCAGGAGGATCGCTTGAGGCCAGGAGTCTAAGACCAGCCTGGGCAACACAGCGAGACCCATCTCTACAAAAAAGTTTTAAAAATTAGCCAGGTATAGTGGTACACTTGTGGTCCCAGCTCCTCAGGAGCCTGAGGACTGCCTTGGGCTACAAAGTGGGACCCTGTCTCTCTCAATGAAGAACAAGGGCATGAAAAAATGGTACATGCTTTTTATGTAACAGTAAATAAAACAGGATATAAAGTAGTCTATACATACTGTGGTGTCAATTTATTAAGAATTATATGTCCATTATGGACATGGATAAGAAGAAAATACATTAAGACATTAACAGAACTCCCATCTCTGGCTGATAACGGTACAGATAATTTTACTTTTCTGCTCTATCTTTTCTAAAACTCTACAGTAAACATGTATTTTTGCTTTTAATTATTATTTTGAGACAGGGTCTCGTTTTGTCACCCAGGCTAGAGTGCAGTAGTATCATCATAGTTCACTGCAACCTCAAACTCCTGGGCTCAAGCAACCCTCCAGCCTCAGCCTCCTGAGTAGCTGGGAACATAGGCATGTGCCACCATGCCTGGCTAATTTTTCTATTTTTTGTAGAGATGGGGTCTCGCCTTTACTCAGGCTTATCTCAAACAACTGGTCTCAAGCAATCCTCCTGCCTCAGCCTCCCAAAGTGCTAGGATTACAGGCATAAGACACCGCATCCAGTCTTAATGTTATTTTAAAGTTTGCTTTGTAATAATTTCAGGCTTGTCTGCCTGGCTTCCAGGACCCTCTACAATCTGACCTTACCACACCAAGCCACAGGAGGGCTCTGTACGCTAAAGAGGTAGGCCTTGGATCTAAAGACCTGAGCTGTCTGCTGCTGTGTACACTAGTACAGGGACTTGAGCACAGGCACCTTCACTAGCTGGGCCTTCAGTTTCCTTTCATTTGTACAGAGGTAATGTCCACTTTTCTACTTTAATGAGGAGCGCTACAAAAGGAGGATCACTAGCTGAATTCTTCCTTTCCTTCCAATTCTACCAGTCCCCAGTCATTACAGGCCACAGAAAACATTTCCTTCTTGTATTCCAAATGAACATCATGTCCCTCAGTCATAAGCCTCTTCATTACATTCTGTCTGCCAATATCCTTTACAGTGTCAACACTAAGACGACTAAGAAAAATATTTGTGAAATGACCAAGAAGCAACTCTTACTCTCTGCCCCTTGCAAAATCTTTCCTATTCATTTTTCAAATTTAAGGGCCACCTCTACCAATCTGGAGTAGAAAAAGCTGGGAGTCTAACAGACTTCCAGGAAACAAAAGGGGGATAAAACTGTACTTACTGGGCTTAACAGACTCCAAAGGGACAAACACTTGAGCCAGAGGCGTATTCTGTGAGGATGGGGAAGATGCCAATGGTCCAGCCTCCCAGGACCAACCTGGGGAAGACTTAGTACCTGGTGGCACTTCCTTGGGGATACTTTTCTGTGAGACATAATTCCTGCAAAGAAATAAAAAACATCAAAGCCTAGCAAAAATTGTAGAGAATTTCAGGAATCTATGATTAGGTTTTCTAAAGAAGCTAAGAAAGGAAAAATTATATAACTTCAGACAAGTGATCAAACCTATGCCTCTGTTTCCCCATCTGTTAAGCGGGAATATAGAAGTATTTACCTCAAAGAGCTGTCATAAGAATTAAATAATGTATGGAAAGCACTTAGAGTGTCAGCACAGAATAAGAACCCAACAAACTAGAGCTACTATTACTATGGTTATTCATGTTGTAGTTGTCAGGCAGTCCTTGACAACAAGTAGCTCAGGCAGGTTAAGTTTCCCAAATGTGATCACCAGAATGACATGAGGTAGGCAGACGATACACAAATTACACTGACCACTTTATACGTCATGATTTCGTCCATTTGGAACACAAACTGAAAATATTTTAGAAAACTAAAGTCCAGAGAAGAGAAGTAACCTATCCTATTGAGTGGCTGAAAAAATAAAACCACAAGAAACAACTTCTGGGTAGCAAAAGAAAGGAATTCTCTGCACATCTCCATTTCTGCCAGAGCCCTGTTCTATCAGAAACACTGCCACTCACTCTTTAGACTGTTTGGGGGAAGGCAAACTACTACTTTTCCAGAGGCAAATGGACAGGATCCATGCAAATGTTTTCACATTTCATACTTTAGAGAACCTCTACTTTTAGGAATCTATACTATAAAAACATTCCCCCAAGTGCCTCCAAACTGGAGATTATATAAATGTCTGCAAGAGGGAAATGATTAAATATATTCACATAATGAATTATAATGCAGGTCTTTTTTTTTTTTACATAGCTATTAAAAAGAATGAGGCATATTCACATAAACTGATATAAACTGCCATAAACTGCCTTTCTTACAAGGAGCTCAAACATGAGCGGTGACGCAAGTACCACTGAAGAGGGGACCATGTGGGGGGCATACTCTGCACTCGTGACCTTGACCTTCTTGGCCCTGCACCCTCTGTGAGGAACTCCATCATTGCTGAATCCTTTCATATTCTAGTGACAATTGACCTCCAAATAAAAGATGACTGGTATGTGTAAAAAAAAAAAAAATACAAAGATACAATATGATACAAGAAGGTAATGCTGGAGTAGAGTTTGTAAATTATAATCCCACTTGGTTTTTAGCCACAATACAAAAAAGCAAAGAGGGTGGGTGCAGTGGCTTATGCCTGTAATCCCAACACTTTGGAAGGCCAGGGCAGGAAGACTGCCTGAGGCCAAAAGTCTGGGAAACATAGCGAAACCCCATTTCTACAAAAAATCTAAAAATTTGCCATGTGTGGTGGCATGCGCCTATAGTCCCAGCTACTGGGGAAGCTGAAGTGGTTGGAGGATCGCTTGAGCCCAGGAGTTGGAGATTGCAATGAGCTATGAGCACTCCAGCCTGGGTGACAGAATGAGATCCTGTCTCAAAAAAAAAAAAAAAAAAAAAAAAAAAAAAGCAAAGAAGGAGTATTCAACATTGTTCTTAGGGAATGGTATTCAGCACTTTCTGTATTATATTTCTCTAATGATCAAATTTCGCTTAACTTCAAACTACATGGAAATTGGGAAAAAATAAATAGCAAAAACATCACCATCATCTACTATTGCTAGTTTTTAAATAAACCCCTTTTCAGATGTCCTGGCTGAACCATATATTTTCCTATGACTTAGGAAGGGGATTAAAAGGAGAAAAGTGGGAGCAGCAGATTGAACTTTCAATAGAAAGAAGACACCCCTCCAGGGTGAGAGGTCTCTGGCTCTCAGAGCACCACTCCCTGGCCCTTGTGTGATGAGAGGGAACTGTACGCGGCAGCCAGACCCTCCCACTTCCCTTGCCTATAAACTCACAGAGGGCTGGGGGATGGCTGCGGTGAGAGATCCAGCAAGTTCCGGTCTGCAGAATGGCTCTGAATGCCACCGCCCAGCAGTGTGCTGGCAGAAGGATTCCTCTTTTCCTGACAGCAATTCTGACCAGCAATCTGTCAAACCAGGAATGGCTAAATTAAGGCCAGGGTACAATGACCACTGGCCATGGTAAAACTGTGGCACAGCTCTCCTGAGCCCACCAAAGCTGGTGCAGCCGAAGCTTATTGTATTTCTTGGGGTAGGAGAAGCAAAGGGCAAGAGAACATGTGTCTCCTGAGCAGACTTTCAGGAAGCAGGAGCCTGGTGCAACTGAAGAGGGAAGCGGTCTAAGGAGAGGGAAAAAATGCCTCCCCTTGGGGGTTCCAGCAAGACAGTATGAGTGAGGAAGAGGCTTTGGACCTCCAAGTCCATGAATCTCACGCCAGGAGAGCACAAGAGCACCTCTCTCCCCGCCAGGCAGCACTGCTTCATGAAGGCAGGTTTCAGAGACCCTCCCTTCCACTTTCTGGGCCCTGGCAAGAGCTTCCCTACCTTATTTGTAACAGCAGCATCACTGATTCCTGTAAGGAAGGAACAGAGAGAGATGCACAACAGTAACTCCACCTGCTTCAAGGTGGAGATGGATACCACGTTTACCCTTTCCAGGACATTTAGGAATGACTCACCCAAGGTCACTTAACTTATCCTTAGCAAATCTATGAGTAACGTGCAAAGGGGACTTCTCTGAACCGTCCAGCACAACCCCTTCCCTCAAAAGCAGCACACACTCCCAGGGTGGAATCACCTTTCTGTCTCCCTACTCAGAACCATTCTGAGTCTGCTTGGCCTACATGCCCCTCTCACCCAAGGCTGCCAGGTCCTGATGAAGCAAAGATGGCGCCGCAGTCCCAGCCTGCTCAGATCCATCGTCCACCTCTAAGTCAATCAGGGTACAGTTTTTCATGCAGCCTGCTGGATTCTGAAAGACTAGAAAACATACACGGTTAGAAAAATAAGTAAGATACTAGAGCAAAGTCTCCCCTTAAATCCTATCAGCTTCTCTCAGGCTCCTCCTAATCAAAAGATAACACCCTGTCCCAAGAACCTCTCACCTCAGCACCATGTCTTGACACACAGCCTGAGCTGGCATCTGGACCATGAGGTAGTCAGCGGACTGCCTTCCCACCCTACAGATCACAGAGTCTTCCTCTAAAGGTCCTATCACCCTGGACAGGAACAGACTTGAACTTTTCCAGCTCAGGGCCTTTGAAGTTTCTGACCACAGCGCGTCAGAATCTCCCATACAGCCTGATAAACAGATACCCAGGCCTAGTTCCAGGCAGTCTTGATTCACAAGGGTCAAACCAGGGACCTCAGGGTCTGCAATTTAACCAGTATTCCGGGTGATTCTGACGCAGCTAGCCTGGCACCAGGAACCACTGAGGAAAACCATTTCTTTGGTCCCGTAAGTAAGCACTCATGAGAATGCAAACCCAGGCACAACTCAGCCATCTGCTTCCGTGTGTAGCCAAAGCTGAGGTCCAGCCTGGCATCAGCGCGCGATGGCTACTGTGGCATAGTCAGGCTACATGAAATCTGTTTTCACAGGAAAGGGATAAGAGGGCAAGTTCTCTCATTTCTATGCTACAATCCAGAATATTCTGAGGACCTATGTCTTTTCTGGGATTTGCAGGCTGCCCCAAGGCAGAAGATAGGGAGAGGCTTTCAAATATACCTCTGGAGACGGGTATGTCTCCCACTGAGCTGGTCACTGTGTTTCCAAAGGTCACACGGCCCTCCATCACCTGTTTGTACAGCAGAACTCCTTGGGTGAGGAGATCATTTGCCTGGAGAATCTCGGCTAAAGAATGAGAGAAAAATCAGAACCCCCTGATCACCATCATCTACTATTGCTAGTTTTTAAATAAACCCCTTTTCAGATGTCCTGGCTGAACCATATATTTTCCTATGACTTAGGAAGGGGATTAAAAGGAGAAAAGTGGGAGCAGCAGATTGAACTTTCAATAGAAAGAAGACACCCCTCCAGGGTGAGAGGTCTCTGGCTCTCAGAGCACCACTCCCTGGCCCTTGTGTGATGAGAGGGAACTGTACGCGGCAGCCAGACCCTCCCACTTCCCTTGCCTATAAACTCACAGAGGGCTGGGGGATGGCTGCGGTGAGAGATCCAGCAAGTTCCGGTCTGCAGAATGGCTCTGAATGCCACCGCCCAGCAGTGTGCTGGCAGAAGGATTCCTCTTTTCCTGACAGCAATTCTGACCAGCAATCTGTCAAACCAGGAATGGCTAAATTAAGGCCAGGGTACAATGACCACTGGCCATGGTAAAACTGTGGCACAGCTCTCCTGAGCCCACCAAAGCTGGTGCAGCCCAAGCTTATTGTATTTCTTGGGGTAGGAGAAGCAAAGGGCAAGAGAACATGTGTCTCCTGAGCAGACTTTCAAGAAGCAGGAGCCTGGTGCAACTGAAGAGGGAAGCGGTCTAAGGAGAGGGAAAAAATGCCTCCCCTTGGGGGTTCCAGCAAGACAGTATGAGTGAGGAAGAGGCTTTGGACCTCCAAGTCCATGAATCTCATGCCAGGAGAGCACAAGAGCACCTCTCTCCCCGCCAGGCAGCACTGCTTCATGAAGGCAGGTTTCAGAGACCCTCCCTTCCACTTTCTGGGCCCTGGCAAGAGCTTCCCTACCTTATTTGTAACAGCAGCATCACTGATTCCTGTAAGGAAGGAACAGAGAGAGATGCACAACAGTAACTCCACCTGCTTCAAGGTGGAGATGGATACCACGTTTACCCTTTCCAGGACATTTAGGAATGACTCACCCAAGGTCACTTAACTTATCCTTAGCAAATCTATGAGTAACGTGCAAAGGGGACTTCTCTGAACCGTCCAGCACAACCCCTTCCCTCAAAAGCAGCACACACTCCCAGGGTGGAATCACCTTTCTGTCTCCCTACTCAGAACCATTCTGAGTCTGCTTGGCCTACATGCCCCTCTCACCCAAGGCTGCCAGGTCCTGATGAAGCAAAGATGGCGCCGCAGTCCCAGCCTGCTCAGATCCATCGTCCACCTCTAAGTCAATCAGGGTACAGTTTTTCATGCAGCCTGCTGGATTCTGAAAGACTAGAAAACATACACGGTTAGAAAAATAAGTAAGATACTAGAGCAAAGTCTCCCCTTAAATCCTATCAGCTTCTCTCAGGCTCCTCCTAATCAAAAGATAACACCCTGTCCCAAGAACCTCTCACCTCAGCAGCATGTCTTGACACACAGCCTGAGCTGGCATCTGGACCAGAGGTAGTCAAGCGAACTGCTTTCCCCCATCAGAATCAGCAGAGTCTCCTCTAAAGGCTATCACCCTGGACGGAAGCAGACTGAAACTTTCCAGCTCAGGGCCTTGCGTCGAACCAACACCGCAGCGTCAGAATCGTCCCATACAGCCATGATAAACAGATACCCAGGCTAGTTCAGGCGGTCTTGCATTCACAAGGTCAAACCAGGGACCTCAGGTCCTGCAATTTTAAACCAGTATTCCGGTGATCTCTGACGCAGTCTAGCCTGGCACCAAGGAACCCACTGAGGAAAACCATTTCTTTGGTCCGTAAGTAAGCCACCATGAAGAATGCAACCCAGGCCCCAACTCGCCATCTGCTTCCGTGGTTTAAGCCAAAGCTGAGGTCAGCCTGGCATCAGCGTGCGATGGCTACTGTGGCATAGTCAGGCTACATGAAATCTTTCACAGGAAAGGGATAAGAGGGCAAGTTCCTCCATTCTATGCTAGCAATCCAGAATATTCTGAGACCTATGTCTTTCTGGGATTTGCAGGCTGCCCCAAAGGCAGAAGATAGGGAGAGCTTTCAAAAATACCTCTGGAGCGCGGGTGTCTCCACTGAGCTGGTCACTGTGTTCAAAGGTCACACGCCCTCCATCACCTGTTTGTACAGCAGAACTCTTTGGGTGAGGAGATCATTTCCTGGAAAATCTCGGCTAAAGAATGAGAGAAAATCAGAACCCCCGGTTTAACTACCAACAACTCAACAACCTAAGCCATTCTGCAGAGCAGCCTACACATGGCTGACTAGGTTCAGGTTATCTGTGCCCCTCTGCTCCAAGATCATGTAATCAGGCCTAGTCACTTAACCTTGAGCCCTAAATACTCTAGTTGAATGGTAAAGGAGAAGCTAATTTTTACCTTCTATGCTGCGCTGTCCAACATAAGTGCCTGGCAGTAAGCACTCTAAATAGCTCTTTCAATGAGGAACTAAAACTTTTATGCTCTTATTAATCTGTAGAGACAGGCCTTGCTATGTTTCCCAGCTGGTCTCAAATCCTGGCTCCAAGTGGATCCCCACCTCAGCTTCCAGAGTGCGGGATTATAGGCATGAGCCACTGCACCGGCCTTTATTTTTAATAATTTTAAATTAAAACCTGATGCGTTTGTCAAAGTGGATCAATATTGAAAGAATTCTTAGTACTTGATTCAGTTATGGAAAGCTTTTAAGTATGTAGGTAACAATTGGCATAAAAATCTACTTTTAACCTATAATTTTTAAAAATATTAAAACTGATCAATATTTCTCACAAAATTTGGCATCCAAACTGAAACATGCCAAAGTATAAAAAGGCCAGGCATGGTGGCCTCATGCTGTAATCCTGGAACTCTGGGAGGCACAGAGGAAGATCACTTGAAGACCAGGGAGTTTCAGGCCAGCCTGAACAATATAGGGACCCTGTCTCTACAAAAAAGGAAAAATAGCCAGGCGTGGGGCAGGCACCTGTATGTCCTAGCTACTCGGAGAAACTGAGGCAGGAGGATCATGAGTCCAAAATTGAAGGTACAGTGAACTATAAGATGCCACCGCACTCTACCTGGGCAATAGAGCAAGACCCTGTCTCAACAAACAAACAAACCAACAAAATCATAAATACACACTGGATTCAAAAACTACATGAGCATCTATGGTCCTGGTTAACCTGCAGACAAACTCTTCCTAGGAGAGACAAATAGCAACATGGCTGGGGTGATGTATAACCGAACACTGCAGGCCCAAGTGCGGAAGATGCTTCTTAGGGGTGACCAACTGCTTATTCCTGCCAATTTTTTGACTGTGGACAAAGATTGCAAACTGGCAACATGGGGTTGAATTTAATGTAAAGTATTTCACTTGGCATGTGCAACGGCTTTAAAAACTTCAATTGACTACCTCTGACCTCACTGCAATCACGAGAATATAACTGAGGGTAGAAGTAATTATATCACAAAAAACAATCAGATACCATGGACCTCCTAAACAACTATTCTATGATGTATTCTTGACCACCCCCCAACTGAACCCAAAATGATCAAGGCCAATCCAATTGGCTATAAAAAGAAATATCAGAAACAGAAACATTAAACATCGACATGGGTATGCAATGAGCAAAACAGACCAATAGAACTCTACAAGGCAAAGTAGAGTTTGCCTTGTCACACTCTACCTTTCATGTGAGATAGAGATGGAGGAGGTCAGGCGTGGCTATCCATTAAAAGACTGAAGAAATATCAAGCAATTATAAACTGTGGCTTCTGAGTCTGATTATAACTGTTTATGTTTGTTAGTCTTTTTTACAAAGTTATCTAGAGATGATTAAGGAGAGAAATGATTAGGGAAATTTGAAAACTGGCTGAATATTGGTTATTTTGACATGTCTACGATTTTCTCGCAAAACAGACTA